CATAATTTTTATGGTATGAAAAGATGTATTATGTGGCATAGACGGCATGACCTTGAAATGACCCTTACGAGCTGCATACAAATAACGTAAAAAATTTCAAATGGAACTCGTCAGTTTTTGTTACAGATTCTTGTAGCTGATGTCGAAACGTTTACAAAACACTGCATATGAGCCCCATTCCCTTAAAAACACTCCCAGTTATGAAACAATTGTGATACAAACAGTTTGTATGCACATTGACATTGCTTACTGATTTCGCATCATGACGTTCAGTTGCGTTCACTAATAACATGTAATTGTACCTGTTGTCATATGAATCGCACTTATCTTGTCTTAACTGGTTGGATGAATCGCACTTATCTTACCTTAACTGGTTGGATGAATCGCACTTATCTTGCCTTAACTGGTTGGATGAATCGCACTTATCTTGCCTTAACTGGTTGGATGAATCGCACTTATCTTGCCTTAACTGGTTGGATGAATCGCACTTATCTTGCCTTAACTGGTTGAATGAATCGCACTTATCTTGCCTTAACTGGTTGGATGAATCGCACTTATCTTACCTTAACTGGTTGGATGAATCGCACTTATCTTGTCTTAACTGGTTGGATGAATCGCACTTATCTTACCTTAACTGGTTGGATGAATCGCACTTATCTTATCTTAACTGGTTGGATGAATCGAACTTATCTTACTTTAACTGGTTGGATGAATCACGCAATCTCTTTCCTTGAGTACGGTTCGATGTACGCCTTAACTGATTCTACGAACTTCGCGTGTCTTTCGTATCGGCAGAAATGATCGAAGCGGATTATTCTCCATTTGTTGCAGTAATCTACTGTTGTACTGATCTCTCATAATGACGTTCAGTCGCGTTATACACATTCATGTAATCACACGTACGCTGTCTATTTTCAATTTCGTCGATACGAATTATCACAATTGTTTCGTAACTGGGAGTGTTTTTAAGGGAATGGGGCTCATATGCAGTGTTTTGTAAACGTTTCGACATCAGCTACAAGAATCTGTAACAAAAACTGACGAGTTTGAAATTTTTTACGTTATTTGTATGCAGCTCGTAAGAGTCATTTCAAGGTCATGCCGTCTATGCCACATAATACATCTTTTCATACCATAAAAATTATGTCTAAGACATTTTGTCGAAAAATGAATAGTTTCGGAAATAATTGTTTGCTTCCATACTTTTTCCCCACCCTGTCTAATAAATAACTAATAAATAAATTCTATTCTAAAATGTATCTTTGTATGTAAAACATTTTTGACATCTAAAATTTTCAAGTGCGATCGATTTCTTGAAAAATATTCACTTACCTAAAAAAAAGAAAGAGAGTTGTACAAAGAATCAAAAGACCTTTAAAATGATATACCACTTAACCCCTAGATGTTTAAGATTTTTGAAGGGGTAGCTATCCCGACGAAGGGGATGAAAAAATTTCGTTAATGTACTTAAATATCCCCCTTGAAAATAAAATTGACATTTTTCGCAAAAAATAGTCAATCGTGAAATAAACAGATTTAAAGTTTTAAAATGAACACCCTGTATATATATATATATATATATATATATATATATATATATATATATAATATCTTTTCAGTACCTATGGCTATCGAAGAACAGGTAGCTGTCATATATTGCGGTGTGCGTGGTTATCTCGATAAAATGGATCCTACAAAGATTACTGCTTTTGAAAAAGAATTTCTTGCACACATCAGGTATCTAATGTAATATCTAATGTATTTAATTAATGCATATATATATTTTTTTGATGCATATATTTTTTTCTAGATCTACTCAGCAAGATCTTCTTGCTACTATTGCAAAAGAAAACATAATTAGTGAAGCATCAGATGCAAAACTGAAAAAAGTAGTTACTGATTTCCTATCATCTTTCTCAGCATAAAGTGCAATCATATGGTATTGTCATACAATGTCATTGTAATATGCTTATCAAAATAGATAATGAAAATGTAAATGTTTCTTGAAGATTTGCTATGAATTGAGTATTAATGTACCAATATTACAGTCATATAAATAATACATAATTATAAGTCATATATAATTATGTATATCTATATTAGATACATTATTACACTTTTCTCTCTTTATACATATATATATATATATATATGTATATATATATATATATATGTATAAAGAGTATATATATATATATATATATATAATCTATAAACTTGATAGATATCTATAAACTATAAAAATGATAGATATCTGATAGATATATGATAGATATAATGATAGATATCTTGATAGATATCTATAAATATAAACTATAAACTAAGATATCTATAAACTTAATATGTTGATACAAAAAGATTAGTCTTTAAAAAGTTATTAAAAAAACTATCTATCTTTAAAAAAATTATTAAAAAAACTAATGTTTTGGATGTAGGTATATTTTTTTTACAGGTTAGACATTTTAAAAACATCAATAAAGGCTAAAAAATATTTTTAAAAAGAAGATATAGAATATAAATATTTTTCTATGTTCTCTATCTTTTAAAGCTCCTAATCTCTCATTGCAATCATTTCATCATATATTAAATTATAATATGGAAATAAAAGATAGAATAGAAACAAAAAATCATAAATTTATATAAAAATTATAAAGTTTCAAATTTTTTTTTATGAAATGAATTTTTTTATTTATTGAAGTGTTTAACGTGCCATCAATCGATCTTGTCTTATTCGGTTTTTTGGACACCTTCTGTACATAGAACCAATATTCCTTTCGTCAATTTTTATAAATAGTAATCTAAATATCTTTTTTTTAATAATTTACCTATAATAATTTTACCTATTTCTTTAAGGAAGTCCACATAGTTCTTAATGATTTCAAATTAATTTCCTTAAGCCATTTATCTATATTATAACGATATGGAACCGCTGTTTGATCTAAGTGCTGATAAAACTTATTTTTAACTTCATAGTACTTGACACAAATAGAAGCAATATGGTGAATATCTTGAATCTTTGCTTCACAATCGTATCTTGGACTATCTATATACTTTTTTTTCACTAATGATTCATTTAAATTGTAATGATTAACTCTTAATCTATTAATCTGTTATATATTCTTAATCTATTAATCAATGACTAATCCTCCTGGTTCATCCAAATTGTTGAACCAGGCTTTAGGGCTATCGTTATTGTAAAAAGTGTTAAAATATTTTACACCTTTGTAAGTATCTTCTCTTTCTAAGTTCTCTCTAGGCTTATTATACATTTCCTTTTTAAAAATAATTTTCCAATCGTTTATCGGAATCTTAATTTTATCGTCAACGTCTTCATTTGTCGCTTCTTTAGCTAGGGCGTCAAGTTCATTTCCTTGAATTCCTCAGTCAAATACCCTATGATAATCTTGTTTTTATAATAACTATTAGTCTCATTTTTTCTTTTGATAGATCAAAGACTCTCTTATTCTAGTAATATATTTACATTTATATACATTTATAGAATTATTCATTAACGCTTTACAAGAATTTAAAAAATCCGTAAGTATCATGACATCAGTCTTAAAGTTATTGTCCTGAACAAAATCTAGAGCCTTTTCAATAGCGATTATCTCTACACTAAATATGGAACATTTATTATTAATACTTATACACTATATCACTATCTTCTATTCCTACGCTTTTTTGTCATCCTGCTTTGATCCATCTATGTAAATGACTTTATAGTATTCTCTAAGATTATATTTATTTTTAAAATTTAGAAGTAACTCATGATTGCTGCAAGAATCACGTTTCCTTCTCTTACCTATATCTATCTCTATTTTTGTTAGTGGCCAATAATTATTCTTATAAACCTCTAGTTTTCCTGTCCGCTCTACTTCATTTTTAAATTTTTTAAAATCTACAAGTTTTCGTGAACATATTTAGTCCTCCTCTCCTCCAGGATTATTTAGTCTGTTTATACTTTAATTTTTAATCTATTCATCATTTCTATCATTTCATTATTACCATATGTACATAATTTAGCCAATAATTCATAGCTAAAAAACCTGCTCTATCCTCTAATCTCATTAGTTTAAATTCTGTAATCATCATATTTATCGGAATGCTATTTCTATATCCTAATGCAATTCGTACTCCTTTATACTGTCTAATCTGTATTAATCTTTCTATCTTATCTCTATCTCTAAGAATTTTTGGAAAATATACAAATAAACTATAATCTATTTTGGTTCTAATAAAGCTTTTATAGATCATTACTTCTAGCCCTAAGATATTCTAATTAAAAATTTTAGAATATTCGTTGCCTTATTAACTTATCAAAGCATATTTCTAAAAATTTTGAAGCTGTGTAAAAAAAAAATTAATTATACTCCTTTGCAAATTTAATTTAATATTAGGATCGATTTTTCCATCCTTTCTAAAATTTATGAGAGACGTCTTCTCTGGTTTCAATTTTAATCCAATATCTTCTAGATTACTTCTTATCGATCTTACAGATTGTTCCATTGAAGAAAATAAATATCAGAGCATAAGTCGAATATAAGGAAAAAGTAACAGAAGTGTAAACGAAGCTTCTAGGAGGCGGAAATTGAAACAACAAAACATAAACGAAGTGTTAACGCTTCATTTACGTTATGTTGTTTCAATTTATGCTTCCTAGAAGCTTCGTTTATACGTTGGACTAATTATTCCTCCTTGAAGTCCTTTATGAGCCATTCTTTCTATCGTGTTTTCTTTGTTGATCACAAATTTAGTTTTTCTTTCGGAGTCGGCCATGATGGGTCAGGAGAGTGACAGGTCGGAAAAGAGAGGTAGAGATTAAGAGGAAAATGAGGAGGATAGGAGTGAGAAAAAGGGTTGAGTGTGGAAGAGGAAGAGGGGAGGTAGAAGGATAAGAGGACATGGGCCGGTATTCATAGTCCGATCTTATATTTAAGATCGTCTTAAGTCTGGTCCGAGGTTGACTTAAGACCTCTTTCAACCAATCAAATAGCTGCGTAGCATTTCAAGCTCGAACTTAAGACGATCTCAAATATAAGATCGGACTATGAATACCGGCCATGGAGATAGTACTAGCAGAGAGAAACCTGAGAGCGGCCACCAGCCTCGACGGGCACATTTCTCGTAAAGTTACTAGATTAACATAGTACTGCAATTTTGATCTCAATAAGATAAGATGGAGCTGTAAGGCGTAAGCACTGAAATATATCTATACTGGAAGAGGCACTGGCTTTGTTTGCCGTAGACGGAAAGCGTGCCTGCGATAGATAGATGTTTGGGGATTGCTATCTCGTTTTTTCCGGCGCTGCGTCTGCGCAGAACGAAACAAGTCACATGATGTACAGGCGAAATCGAAAGTTTAGTTTTTTGCTTGGCTTATTGAGGTAACGGTGGCAATGTGGCATGTTCTGAAACATTTTATTTTAATCAATTCGAAAAAAGATATTAATGTCAAATTCTTGATGTTTGAAATAGATTTTGTGTTTCAATAATATAAAAGAAAAATGGTGAAACATTGCTGTGTAAAAAATTGTCGAAATGTTTGGATTCCTAACACTAACCTCACATTCCATACGTAAGTATTTTAATTCTTATATTATTCAAATTTATATGTTTCACTTATACTTATTATATGGTAAAGCAACTTATCTGAAATAATTATTGAAATGTTATATTTATTGTTTTAAGTTTTCCATGGAGTAATAAAGAACGCTTGGAAGAATGGATAAGTGTCGTGCTAAGCAAGAGTCGTATTGGAAAATATTCATATATTTGCAGTGCACATTTTAACGACACTGATTTTTTAAATGTGGGAACAAATTAACAATTAAAAAAAAATGTTGTGCCAAGTAATTTTAAAGACAGTGATGAGTTATCAAAAGTGAGTGAATTTTAATTTAATAATTTATGTTAAATACTGTTGTGAATAGACTCTTCCGGGGATATATCAATTAGATTTAATAATACTTTTTTAATGTGATGTCAATAATGACTTAAATAAAAATTCTATCTTTTACTTTTCATATTTGACTTTAAAAAAATTTTGTTTGCAGCGCGCTAATGGCCTCCCCCTTGACAAATTTCTGGATCCGCCAATGCGTAAAACATCCCAAGATTGATTTATTAATACTCATCTATAATTTTATATCTTATCTTATAATTTTATATCTTTGACAATAAATTAAAAGTTTCAAAATAAAATAAAACATATATTTATAAAAAATAACGATGAATTAATGATTGCATCCTTTTCAATACATATAATGGTTCTAAACATATTTTTAGTATTATAAGTTTATTAAAATTAAACAATTACAAATTTTCGTGCATATGAACATTGTGATTTTATACATTGATTTGAAATTGAGTATTTTATAGAAATTCATCCTATATTTTCCTCCATAAACTTTAAGAGGACGACAGCATTGTAAGGGCCGGAAAGTATAATTAGATATTTTCAGGAATTATTTAGATAAAAACTATACAATAAATCTCTCTTGTTAATGACTTTCAATATATGTTAATAATATATCTCTATATAGTTCTCGGTTCTCGAACCGTTACAGTGACGTCCTTCCTAACCTTCCTTATGATACAAACACTCTTGGACCTGACTGTACAACAAAGACAGGTAGCCCCTAAATCTTCCCTCTCTCTCGGCACGCTTTCTGCAGCTCAGTGCCTCTTCCAGTATGTATATATTTCAGTGGGCGTAAGCCTTACCTTCCGCCGCCATTGGCATTCCCCTAGTTTCCTCCCTAGCGTTAAGGTTATACCGAGGTGGCGTTTGAGTCGACAGTGCAGATGACGTGGCAGCCTGTGATTGGCTAAGATAGCGCGTGATCAAGGCGCGAGAGGTTTTTGTTTTTACTGGTCTCGCGAGCGTAACTGGTTTGGACCAGTCAGTCTTTGTCCGGACTTAACAAGTATCGTTTCACTGTGCGGTTAACAATTATCGAATATAATCGCTTGTAGCGTGCTGCCGCGATTGTTCGTGATTGTAATACGAAATACAGTATTATACGAGTATCAATAATTTCATTATTACACCAGTGTGATCAAGATTTCCCTTAAGCTCTCTCTTCCTAAAATCCCCGCGGTTTCTTCCTAAACCGCTCGGCGACCCTTACAGAGCAAAAATGGTGTCCGATAGTGCAGATAGTGCACACTTTGTGTAGCTATCTATACTAAGTGCAATTTTTCTAACCTTGATCCTGGTCTGTCCTGTGTCCTGTTGTGTGTGAGATGAGAAAACTCCTTCTGTTGCGCAGAAAAAAAAGAAAATATCAAAAATGCCAGGTTGTTGCGTGGAGAAATGCAACAATCGCAGCCTATATCTATACTATCGGACGCCATTTTTGCTCCAGCTTATCTTATTGAGATCAAAATTGCGGTACTTTGTTAATCTAGTGACTTTAATTTCTCGATGCTTAACACGCCGTCTGACAAAGTGGACGTGTCCATTGTGAACTATGTCCATTACGCTCGGTAACGAAACATGGTTTGTGTCTATGATATGATGTCCGATGATATTCATGTCCGAACTATTCAGAGACAGTCGGATAAGAACCGATAATCCATCGTTCTGTCTTTGTCTCATCAATGACAGACCATGCGACTGTCACGCGACGAGCTTACGATTTTGCTTTCCCCTTTCTCTCGTCGCGCTTTTACTTTCTTCGTTATGATGTAATAACGAAATGATCTTCACATAATCCTAATTTTCTAAGGGTATTGGCAGACAAGTTTTCCAATTTTGTATGTCCTGTAACAAAAATACAACACATTATGAAAATTACGATTACATGCTTACTTCAAGCTGACATAGCAATTGGTATACCGAATGTTTGGTAAAAAAAAATTTTTTATGTCAGGCGTGTTGGTTATAATCAATTCGATAAAATGCTACTTCATAATAGCGCTACTTCATAATAGCGCGTAGCAGTGCAAGTAAGATGACTGTTTGTCGGCGCTGACCCGAGTTCGAATCTCCCTGCTGTCGTTTTTTTTTATTTTTATTTTATGAAATATAAATATCTTTAAAACGAAAATATCTTATAAAATATATGTATTATATATAGATTTAATATTTTAAAAGAAATAATAACGATTACCTGCGATTAATATGCGAAATCACGCGGATGTCCTCACCGGTCATCAACCATATAAAAGGAAGGAAGACACCAGCGCCGACAATACGGGAATTACGTAATTAAAATGGTATCGCTGTACGTATCCGTTAATATAAAGTAAGTCAAAGGTATATTCTGAGAATATACGGCTAGTAATATGTGACGGTCGTATTTCCGGACGTTTTTCTTTGCGCGGATAGATCGCCGGTGGTAGGTTTCGTTGAATGAAATACGCGGTGTGTGTGGTATAAGTGCGTTTATTGCGTTTGAATGAATATGTGTACAGTGTTAGAGTGTGTAAACGAGTGGACGAGCGTGTGAGCGTGTGCGTGATTATAACAGCTCGGATATAAATCGCGTGGTTCGCGTGATTTGGCCGAAATTAATCAGTATTAATATTCGGCCTCGTTTTCGCACGCTGGCAGATGTTTACGATCGCGCGAGACGGCGCGCGTTTTTGCGGCGCTTTTTCTGCGGGGAATCCCGAGATTCCGAGAATGCTTCGGTTCTCGGGAACGACGGTGATTTTCGCCGTAATATTTATTTCGCGATTTAAAGTCCGCGTATAAATCGCGTATGCGCTTGAACGCGGCGGTGTTTACGCGTTCGTTTCGAGATGCGCTTGCAGGTAATGCATACAACGATGTTCGGTGCGTATAACCCTGGTTTTATATTTCGCGAAGGATGGATTGCGCGATGCAGCTGGATCGGTAACTCCCGATCCGGGGCGGCTCAAGCTCCACCTTCCGTGAGGGTTGCAGCTGCGGATTAGGCGGATTGCACTTTCGGCGTCAGAATCGAGAACTCTCGTTCGGAGACGGAGCACGCTCCACCTCTGTCTTCAGCTCTTTCTGTGCGTTTGGTAGGATGTCTCAAGGATTGCTCTTTGGAAGCGTACTGCTTCAAGCGGATCGGAGAGATGTGATTAGCGTCAAAAATGTGGCCCTTTTTATACGAGCTAATTGCCCGCGTCGGCGCGTGACGGTATAACCCCTTCCGAACGGTTTTCGGAAAACGGTACGGTCGGGCCCGTTCGGAGGGATTCGGGTAGGAGCCGAACGCGGGCTTTCGCCGGTCGACGGTTCGGGCCACATCGACTCTGTTCGGCGATGTTCGGCCGAATTTCGGTTTTCGGCAGTTTAAAAAGGTGGGCGCACCGCGCCCCTGCCTCTGCCCGGCGGGTGTTCTGCCGGGCGGCAGCTTCCGGCGGATGTTATGCCGGGAATCGTAACGATGCACCGGAATGCATCGTTACAAATATACTATAAAAGATAGTAAAACTATATCCTGAGAATATACGAGAAATAATGTACTACGAGAGATGTTATGGGAATATTCTAGGAATGTACAAGAAATAATATACTACAAGAGATATTATAAAGATGTTCTCTGTATATTACGTACAGTACGTATATTCACAGTATGAATATAGAATATTCGTATGATATCATGTGCTGTTAGGGTAATAAAATAACATGTAATAAATAATATGTATTGAATTTGGGAGCAGAAAAGGCAAAAAATTAATAAAATAATGACAATTATTGCACAAAAACATACCTGTATTGCGTATCCATGTATTGCATCTTGTATCCTTCTGCATTGGAAATCGGAATAGCCGTTGCCCATGCGAAAATCTCCCATTCTTACATTTTTTGTACACGCACTTATCATAATAACTATCTACAGGGCACTGAACTGACTCGACATAGTGATTGTTTATTATAATGCAAAACAAAAAAAATATAAAAATAAAATTAAAAAAACTTAAAAGTAGAAATAAAAGAGAAATACAACACGTGATAAAAAAATAAAAAAATTACAACCAACACAATAAAAGCATACACGCACGTACGTGTACACGCAGAAATACTTACAGATAATGTGTCGTGTTCTATAAAAGAAACGATAACACGTGTTGCAAAATACACAGATCTTACATCGTTAAAAAAAAATATAAATTTAAAACAATAGAAGAGATCTGTTATGCACAGATAATAGCTGCGTTTGGCAATGCAAATCTGATGCGTCGGTGTGCTTTTTTACCTTGCAAATCGTTCGGCAATGCATATCTGTTTGCACAATCTCATCTTATCTACGTTCGGTATTAGTATTTTCGGAGCGAATTGAGCTCCTCGATTTACTCTGGATTCGAAGACCGAGCTCGTAGAGGAGACGGTTGTTTGTGGGCGAAAATTGACTTATATACAGGGTGATTCAAAATAATCCCTGTGTCCGTGAAATGACACATTTGAGTCAATTCTAAGACAATGTTTTCTTTTGCAAAATTTCGTCCGAAGCTTAGTTTTCGAATTATTAAAGAAAGTAGTTAATGCATGACGGGTCGGATACAAAAGGCAGGCAAGGGTGACGCGATTCACCGTCAGACGCGGGCGCTTACGCGGGGCGCCTGCTGCGATCAGCTGGTCGCTATACACATCCAGACACACATGCGAACACATACATTCTCTCTCTGTCTGCTGTCTGTCTGTCTGTCTTTCTCTCACTCTCTCTTTCTCTCTCTCTTATTCGCTCACTCACCTGTATTTTTTTTTTACGAGAGAGAGGAAAATGCATTTTATGCATACCCACCGGTCGATCTAGTGAGTTATGTGGGACTCGAGTACCAAGTCGAATTACCAACTCGGTACTTCCTACCCACTAAAAACCCCTCTCTTTTCACGAATTTTCTTTGATACACTGTCCTTCCCGAGATCCGTTTTCACATAACGTTAAAAAATAGTTATTATTACCTTGTCCGATGACTTCTGATGTATTGCTGTAATTACTTGAAGGAGAAATGAATTTTCCGATAGATCGTACGTTCTCAAATTTAACGTAGATATCACGTTGCATAAGACAGAAATCCACACTAAATTATTAACTGAAAGTTTTTCTTCTTTCATGAACTGCATTCTTTTATAAACTTTAACATAATCACATTTATTTACTCACTCGACGAGACGAGAAATTTACTAATGACTCTATCACTAATCACTATTAATAACTGTCGAATAATAACTGTTG